CTCTACTCAGGTCTATCGTCTTTGACTTTATCGTCCGTTTCTTCATCAAAATATTGTTCCGAGGATTAAATTTATTGTTTAATGTTTGATCTATCACAGGGGAAAATTGAAAAAGAGAAAGGAGCAAAATTACAATGCAGAGGAGTTGGAGAAGGCACTGACAGCTCTGAAAATTGGGCAAAGCTTAGGAGCAGCGAGCACACTATCAAATACCAAAGATGACCCTTTATGAGAAAAATATAACAATTGCATACATAACTAATTGAATAAAGACTTTAATTAACTCGACACGTTAAAAGAATCCTTTAACGTGGTTTAGGACCTCTGATCGGTCAGGTACTGATTCAAGAGCCATTTGACTGTTCGGGTACTAACGTTTCGAACGACTCGTCAATATTCTTTTACTATTATTCACAGGTGCATGAATTTTATATCAAACTCTTTTTTTCCACCCGAATAGAATTGAGGTTTACAAAGAATTAATTTTTTGGTGATTCTACATCCGAATAATGAGAAAAATGAACTTGATTACTGGAAAATTCTTACACGTTTGGGTACTGGTGCCTCCACGGTATTTGAATTGCCCATAACAGGTTTGCTTGATTATCGAGATGACAATCTTTCTTTCAGAGGAGGAAGTAATGTAACGACTCTCTAGTTTCTCAATTGCATTCTATCATTTATGCATTCTTTCCTTTCCTCCGAATCTCTCCTCTGAAGTTAGCATCACTCAGTTATTTCTATTAATTCTTATTTCTCCTAATTTGACACTTCTTTTCATATTTCTCTTCACCTTGTTTTTTAATAATTTCATATCTATTTTGAACCCGCGTGCTGTTCAATAGCTGCAATAAGCCAAATTTTCAGATTTTTATCTACAAATTTCGTGAATCGTATTTATGTTGAATTTTCTGAAAATGAGTCACCAAAACCCCAAGTTGTCACATTCATACACACAGACATGACCCTGAAAACATCATTTCTTCACGTTTCATAACATTCTAGAAAATCGAAAAATCTGTCAAATTCGAATCCTCCATTCGGAAGCAAAAATATTGAAAATTAAGGAAAAATCATGAAATTCCCTTCTACCCTTCTCGACGGATTGGAGATTAAATCAGTCAGTTTTACCCCACACGAACATCCAATTAGTTTGAACCTTGGCCTCGAGGGCCGTTTATCTCGTCCTTCCCTCATAGAGATGAAAAGAAAAGTTATTTCTATCACTTCACTGCAGAATTGACGTATGAGAGAACCTATCGATCGTATAAGCCCCCACCCTCAAACTAGAGAGAGTAGATTCGTTAGCTGATGCTGGGTGAGTTTGAAGCCAAGTTAAGCTCATCAAGAGGGATTCCCCCCCCCCCTCCCCCAGTAAGATCACACAAAGAGGAGAAGGGGAAGAGGGATTGAGCGAGCCCAAGTGAAGAGTAAGGGATAGAGACAAGAGGATAGAACGGGTAGAGACGTGATCCAGTGGCTGAGTGTGGAGGCCGGCACGAGACCACCAGCAATGATTGATTTAGACAGGAAAGCTCTGGCAACTGGCCAACCCCTTGCTCGACTCTCGAATTCTTCAGCGAAATAGAGAGCCTCGGGGATAAAGAGAAGGGGACGATGGACAAAAAATGGGGGATACTGGGTGCGAAAGCCCTATGCTGGCGAGACAAGAAGCGATATTTCATTGCCACACCACGAAGGCATAACCCGAAACGGGAGAATTTTTTTTTTCGAGCGGTTTTTTTGGGTATATTCTATGACAGAGTGGGGAGTCTTACCCCTCTTATCTCTCGCTCGCTCTTATTATTTAATGTTTCAAGTCTGGATGATTTTGTATTGTTGAAGAGTTAAAGAATCACGAAAAAAAATATGCTTGATTCAAGTATATTTTATACTCAAATCAAGAATAATATGCTTGATCCAATTTATTACTCCTCACTCTGAGGCCTCCTCCGAGTCACTAAAGTCGTACTGGAGAGATTATTGCCTTCGGTTCCTATTCCCCCACCATTATGTTATATGGAACTCAAAGACTAAAATCTCGCCAGTAGGGGAAGGTGTGCCTGTACCGCCCACCTAAGGGGAAATGCCAGTTTTATATGTTATATTTCAACTTGAGTATAAAAAACGTATTTGTGAGATTTCTTTAACTATTGAACTCGTTATTCTCGAAGTGTAGACGCCTAATTCTCCTTAGAATCCACAAAATTGATTAAAAATAAAAGAGAGACCCCATTGAGCGGTACTACCCGCCGTTGGGTAATACCGCTCGGCACGATTCCAATGCCGCTCATAGGGTTTTCCATGTATCGCTCGCGCCGCAACCTAACCTGTACTCGAGTGCTGTCGAGCAACTACGTGGCCGATCCTATGAGCGGTATTACCGGCTCCGCTCGGCGTCAACAAAATTGTTGATAATTATTGACATGAGTGGAGTTTTGAGTTCAAATTGGTCTCAAATTACGCACGAAAGTACCACGAATCGAATAACTACAGTTTAATATGAGAATTCAGGGTTTGAAACTATCAAAAACCTTAATTAAAAGTCCACAAATTTTGCACTGTAAAGACCTCAAAACTTCGTTACGTGTTTTTTCATCTTTAAAGTGGTAAATAAAGTGAAATTTTCCCGACAATCACATCCTATCATCAAATTCTTCACGATCAGGAACAGAAAGAACTTCTCAAGTTGATGGTTGTAGAGAAAATCGGGTGAGCGGTATTACCCGCTGAGCGGTACAGGCACACCCTCCCCTACGCCTGTACATGACAAGGAGGTTAGGAAGGCCCCAAATTTGCACTTCGTCACAGTATAATTGTGTCCCTTTTTTTCCTTTCCTTGTTTTTTTTCCTCTTCTCTTCGAGTCATTATTTTAACGTACAGGGAGAAAAAAATTCCAAAATTTTTCTGGAGAAATTCAGGCAAAAATTACTGTGCCGTCTGGTAAAGTGGGTTCAATTGTCTAGCACCAGAAAATTTCTGGTGCTGCGTAGTAAAAATTCCGGTATCACAATAAAAGCCTGATCTCTGACTGTTTTCTATTACATGATAAATTCCATTCAATAGTTAAAAATGAGTGAAGATTATCATTTAGCATATCATATTAATTTTTTTAAACCTCTCCTCCGCATCGTCTCCCCCATATTAAAAGGGGAATACGCGGCACACGTACGTGAAATGTTTGACAGGCAAATGTCCCTAGTGGAAAAACATAAGGCGGAGGCGTAACATGCCTGATCAGAATTTCGGATTGGACTTGATCAGTTTCTGATAGAGACCTGAACAGAATTTCCACTCGGGTATGAGTCAATTTGAAAGTGAAATTCCTAAGTGTCCTGGTAGCTCAGATGGTAAGAGCACCCGACGCGACATTGGGAGGTCCCGGGTTCGTTTTCCGGCTAGGAAGCTACTAATTTTTTCTCTCAAAAAATTAAATTTAATTAATGTCTAATGATGGTAGGCGGAGAAACCCTAGTGGAAAAACATAAGGCGGAGGCGTAATATGCCTGATCAGAATTTCGGATTGGACTTGATCAGTTTCTGATCGAGACCTGAACAGAATTTCCACTCGGGGTATCTCTACAGCGTTGTATACACCTCATGGAGCGAAAATAATGGGCACTTATTTAATTTCTTAACCTTTTTATCACAACACTAATTAATATTTCACTAAATCGATATTATGAAAAATATCAACCTCGGGTTTCAGTGAGGAGGGACGTGAGGGAGGAGGCTAGAGGAGACGACGGAATAAATCATCTGGTCACGTTGAGTTGATGTTCGTGGTTGCGGAGGAGGGAGGAAGAGTGCCGAAATCTTACGAATGCGCGATCGAGTCCTAGGGTTTTGGTGGAGCACCGGAAAAATTTGCCAGCCAGTGTCATAGTTTTTCTCGTATCTCTCGTAAAAATTCACTGTCTCTTCGATTTTACCGTGCTGCACAAGAATTTTTGCCCGCATTTATCCGAAAAAATATCTCGTGCAACAGTACTTTTTCCTACTCTTTCCGGTACATTTCGCCTGGAAAGACCATCCGAAACCACTTTACTGAACGAGCACGGTAATTTTTCTCGTACTTTTCTCTTCGTATACACTATCATCCAGAGTATGAATTTATCTCAATATCGACTGAGAATCCATTTGAAAATTATATATACCAGATCCCGGAATATTATTCCGGGATTGAGAATAAAATATCCCGAATTCCGGTATATTATTCCGGATTCCAGAATATATGATCCTAGATTCCGGAATATAGATATTCCTAATTCTGGAAATTTATATACCCGATTCGAGGATATTTTTCCCTCCTTGTGCCTCCATTGTAGGTAATTATCGTTGTAATAATAATTCTTTTCATAAAATCAATGAAGCACAGTACACAAGGGCTTTTCCCAAGGGTGAAGACGCTTTTCGAATTAGTGCGGGAGATAGGATAGACTGTTAAAAATTTTCGTGAATTTCCTGTGCCAAATTCCGGAACTTTTTATCATATTAAAGTTCCGCTGAAATTTCAGGAAATCTTGTCATTGAAAAATCAAATGTTCCATTGATTTTCTGTTCAAGTGATCTCGAAATCAATAAAATACTTGATTTTTCAGTGCAATTATTCTGTGAAAATTCAGACAAATCACTAAAATTCAGGTAAAAATCAAAATTCATGTTATTTTGTTTCTGAATATTCATGTTCCACTGAAACTTCAATCAAGTTGGGAAATTTTCATCTCACTCCCACTGAAAACATGAATTTCCGTGAATTCTGCCTAAAACATGGAATTCCATACCCATTTTTTCCCTAAATTCGATTCAATGTCATTCTCATGAGATTTACTATAGTTTCCATGAAATTTCAAAAAAATTCTAATAGTGTAAAATAAATATGTTCAGCGTAGGGTAGACTCTGATGCATTTTGGGTGACAGGGAAAAATCAAGGCAAGGGGTGGAGGGATGGGTGAGAAGCAAATTGAATCGTGTTACAGTAGAATACTTTTGATTACAGGCGACGCAGGGACACAATGCTACGGGTGCTGGGAGTTCGACTGCTCTCGAGGCTCCTCGTACTCGTTTGCTCGCTATCGCTGCTGTCACTGCTGTTTTTGAATCGGTGTGGATTCAACAGTATTGATACTGATCTCATCGACACGGCTGGTGAGTGAGGAAATAACATTTATTACAATTCTTTATTCATAAATTATGATTATGGTTGAACATCATGAATTTTGTTTCCAAAGAAATCCGGCAGTGTCACTTGAAATATCTCAATAATGAGATGAAATTTTTTTATTAATTTTTATTAATGTCTAGAATGATCAAGGAGACATGCATGATTTTTGTTCAATTTTAATTGAAAATTCTATTAATTTCTTGTCGACTGTTGAAAAATTTTTCTTGTAAACTTATATCAAGAATCATCCTGGTTCCCCTCCTACCTACTCCACACTCCTATCCAACAATATCCTGTGATGTCACCAGATGTGGAACGCTATATTAACTCCCGTGTTCTATGAATAGGTTTTTTATAATTATATTCTTTTTTTATATACTAGCGAACGGGCGCTTTTAAAGATCAATCAAAAAAATTTTTTCGCGATCAAAACAAATACACAAAAAAACGTCATTCGAAATCTCATTCGAGTAACAGAAAAATCGCTCAATATATTCCTGACAATTTTGAAAATCTATTTTTCTCTTCATATCACAAAAGGATGTCGTTACTTTTCATTCCTATGGTCGGATTCCAATTATTATTATGAAAAGGAAATGAAAAACGAATCAGAAAGGATAATCGGCTAGAAAATGTTTTATTTTCTTCTTTTATCCCCCTTAGAATAATCCGTGACCGTAACGCTGATCTTTTTTCTAGTTATGCCGCTAATTCTGGTTTCTCTCTTCAAAGAACCCTATATATTTTATACTCATTAGAAAGCTCATTGAATGAGCTTCAAATTGAGTTGTGGATCATTTGATTATTATCATTTTTCATTGAGTTAGGCAACTTTCAGTCAAAAATTGTGTTTTCGTGTTTAACTAAAAAATTCAACTTCGGAAGGATTTTTCTCTCCTTCAAAATTAAATCTATCGTAAAATTGATATATCATCTTGAAGTGCACCATTCCCTCTTTAGATTGTGATGTATAGAAGGCAATTTGCTAGAATTTTGATGGAGTTATTACTCATTGTTTCTCTTCCGAACGTTATGTCACACCCTGAAATTCGGCATTTTCATCCATTGTCGGATCTTTAGACTTGAATAATGTGACTTTATGATACACCCATTTGAAGATCTCAACCAGATCTTCAAAATGTTGCCTCATTTTTGTTATTCCATTGACTTAGTCAATTGTTATGGGACATTATGTCTCGAAATTTGCATGTCACAAATTGAAAAATCCCAGTTTTTCAGCCTTTCGTGTTGAATTACTATTTTTGACATAGAAACTACCTGAATTGTTGAAATATTCGAAAAGGTCCTTGAATAAGCTTCAGATTGAAAGGTGAATTGTCTTATCTCGACCATTTTTCGCGAAATTATAAAAGTTTTAGGTAAGAACTCATTTTTCTGTTTTTCTTGAAAATTCAACGTTGGCTGATTTTTTCTATCCCTTCAATTCACATTCATGAAAATATCGATATATCATTCGAAAGAGCATCATTTCTTCTTCGAAATGCGAGGTGTCGCATGCAATTTGGTTCAATTTTGATCGAGATATTGAACATTGTTTCTCTTTTGAGCGTTATGTCACACCCTGAAATTCGATCTTCTCAGCCACTATTGGAACATTGCACCTGACAAATGAGGCTTTTCCGTATACCAATCTGAAGATCTCAATGAGATCTTCGAAATGACACTCATTTTCTTTACTTCGTCGAACTGATCAATTCTTATGGGTCATTATGTCTCGAATTTTCCATGTCACAAATTGACAATTTCTTAGTTTTTTTCAGTGTAATTGTCGAAAGTTGTATCTACTTCGAATACTTTGCCACACCGGAAAATTTGCATCACTGACGACGGGCTATTCAAAACTCTCAAAAGTATGTGGAAAAAATGAAAGCGGGCAAAAATTTTTTTTCACCGGGCGCCAAAGTGTCTGATCTTGGATTTTTCTAGGGGGGAAAGTCGACTTTCGGCAAAATCGAATTTTTCAGCGGGGTGAACTTTGATTCCAATGATTTGAGCGACGGGCTATTCAAAACTCTCAAAAGTATATGGAAAAAGTGAAAACTGACAAAATTTTTTTTTCATCCGGAGCCAAAGGGTCAGATTTTCGGTTTTTCCAGGGGGAAAGTCAACTTTTGCCAAAATCGAATTTTTCAGCCGGGTGAACGTTGATTCCAATGATTTGAGCGACGGGCTATTCAAAACTCTCAAAAGTATGTGGAAAAAGTGAAAACTGACAAAAAAAAATTTTCACCCGGAGTCAAAGGGTCAGATTTTCGGTTTTTCCAGGGGGAAAGTCGACTTTCGCCAAAATCGAATTTTTTTGTCGGGTGAACGTTGCTTCCAATGATTTGAGCGACGGGCTATTCAAAACTCTCAAAAGTATGTGGAAAAAGTGAAAACTGACAAAAAAAAATTTTCACCCGGAGTCAAAGGGTCAGATTTTCGGTTTTTCCAGGGGGAAAGTCGACTTTCGCCAAAATCGAATTTTTTTGTCGGGTGAACGTTGCTTCCAATGATTTGAGCGACGGGCTATTCGAAGCTCTCAAAAGTATGTGGAAAAAATGGAAACTGGAAAATTTTTTTTCACCGGGGCCAAAGTGTCCGATCTTGGATTTGTTCAGGGGGAACATTGTTTAGTAACATTATTTAGTAATAGTACACCTTCCGGGGAAGAAACCCAAAATCGTTAAAACGGTAATCAAGTACAATCGATCCGGTCGATAAAATATCCGGAATTGAGTATGATCGATTGAAAAAGTATAGCATAAGCAATCAATCACAGCAGCCTAACTAGCGCGCGCGCAGCGCGCGTCTCGCCTAGTGTCAGCGAAAACTTTGAATCACTTTTTTTCTTCAAGTATTAAAGGAATATCAATATTTCAGCAAGAAGAAATTCAAAACATGCAAAAAAAGTGGGCGGAAAGAACTAAAAAAATTAATTTTTCAAGGTCTCTGGATAGCTGTAAAATCGTTTTTTTCAAATAGCAAAACAAATGACAGAAATTGAGAATTGGAGACTAAAAATTTTATCGGTTCATTATTATGTTAGCATATATTTTATATTTTCCTTCGGTGAATTGGTCCTTTATAAACTATTCTCTACTGAACATTTCTCTTGAACAATGAGGCGTAGAAGAGTTATTATTTTTCAATATAATCCATGAAAAAATGCTAGAATTTTTTAATCGAATTTCGATAGAAATCCAATAGAATTTTCTAGCAATTTCGATAGATCTGTAGAACTTTTTACTGCGTTAATCTCGAATAATTGAGAAATAGTAGATTATATCATAAGGCGGATAGGTCGAGGGTTGTGTGTCTTGTGAAGTTTGCTCCGACTTACCGACGCCTCGTGCTGGACATTTCCCACCACTAACAAACCTTGACTTATCGGCCTTATGACAAAATCTACTATTATCTTCCAAAATCCGATTCAATTTATTTTTGCTTCCGAATGGAAGCCTTGTTTGTTTGTTGTTTGTTTGTTGGGGTTTAACGTCACGTCAACAGATAGGTTATTAGCGACGGGCTCTTGACTCTTTTTTGTCATCAGAGTTCACGACTATTTCCTCTGTAACTTGTAGGTTACGATGTCATGACAGTATGTCTAATGAATGATCAGAATGCAATCACACATGATGGTGGGAATCAACTGTAGTCAGTTAGGTTCTCGAGACACGTGAAACTGTAGGTTGTATGTACAGGATTCGAACATGCTTTATTCCATTTTCTCGTGGTATTTTAAGGTTTTATTTCAAACTTCAAACTTCTTAGTGATGTCCTTCTATTATTTGACTAAATCAAATAATCCAGAAATAATTTGCCGGTGCCAGGTGGCGAACCCAGGACCTCTGGCTTTGTAGGCGGACGCCTGACCGGCTCAAGCATACACCCAACTGGAAGCCTTGTATTTGACCGATTTTTCCATTTTCTAATTTTGATTGCAAATAGTCTATAATGTTATGAAACGTGAAGAAATTATGTTTTTAAGATCATGTCTGTGTGTATGAAAGAAGACCTCCTCGGAGCGTGATGTGTCAAATCGGTTGTAGCATGTAGTCCTTTGATATTATTTTTATTAAAGTTCCTTAGTATTTTGTTAATTAAAATTGAAAGCGTAATTAATTTCCGTAAAACCCCCTCACCGTGATTATAATCCTCGCCTTTCGCTCAGATTATAAACTCACATTCGTCAGAAGATAGTTTGTGGGCTTATAATGATGGAATCTTCTATTTCATGACTCTAAATGATGCTTGAATTATTCTTTGATTCAAATGCCTATTCCAGATTCCACCGAATGACTTACCAATTTATTTATGCCTACCATTAGTTTCTTCGGTATTTGGAACGCAACTACGACTGTAATTCCCCCTGAAACTCTCCATTTTACGTGAAATATTCTCCAAGCGAGTCTCAAAATGATGAAACACCAGAGCACGAGGAGTGACACTAAGTAGCTTCACAATAAGATTATACCAATTCCCTTCTAGTTTTCCCTTCCACAATGGGATTTCTCCTCCATTATTTTTCTACACTAATTTCCACTCCGCGAGACAATTCAATTAACTCGATGAATGTCACAAAATGAATGCATAAAAATAAGAGTCATGAGTTGGTTGTTGATCGCTTGCTGCACCGCTCGCGATTGTGACAGTGATTTCGATGGTGAATTTGCAAAAATCTGAAATTTTGGTTAAGATTAATCGTTAAAAAATAGGAAGTGTTACACGTGCGTACGAAAAAATGGAACTTTACGCACTTTTAATACAATATACTATTTTTGATGAGTGTAAGATTTGCAGACCGAGGCCAAGTCGAGGAATGCAATCACACAAGTCAGAAAAGTTATTTTCGGTCGAGTGACGAACATGATTTTTCTTCACAATGCGATGAAAAAAAAATTAATAGAATGATTGACCTTCTTTGAAAAATTGAGATTTTCATTATCTACAAAACGCTCAAACCAATGCCTTTTGTCGTAAG